CAGCGGTGAGCAAACGCTGGCTGCAGCACCAGGAACCCCGGAGTGAAACCATAAAGAGCCCAGGGAGGAGCATTCATCACACACGAGGTCATGCCTCTTAAACTCAGAAACACAGGCAACCCAACCAGAGCACACACCACCAGTTAATATTACTTACTAAATGAAGAAAAAATTATTTAGGCCATAATAAAGGGGCAGCAAAACCCCTTCTGGCTTTTCAATTTAGAGTAAGTGGTTTCACCATAGGGTAAGAGCAGGTTAAAAAATGGACCAGCCCCAGCTCAACTGCCCCCACCTCACCCGACTCCCCAAAGAGGTTGGAAATTTACCTGGGATAAGCTACATTAATGAAAAGCATTATCGGTCAACAAAATGATGAAGGAATCGAAAGTTATTTTTCACACCAGACACATTAAAGCTACAGCAGGGAAAAAATCAAAGGAAGAAACTGCAGTTTCAAAGTTGTCTAAAAACCGGTTGAGTATTTTTGATATCATTAAAAGATTTTTGTCCATTTTTGCAGCAAAAGACAAAAAGCTGCCTTGCCTTTTCAAGAAATATTTCCTCTCCTGTAAAATTACTGTAAAAAAAAAAATCCCTGATAATGTTTTCTTTAGAATAGGTATCCTTAGAGATAGGAAGGAAGGCAGAAATGAACACAGGTAGCCAAATGGCTTAAAAAACTTACAGGTGGCAGAAACTACAAGAACAGAACAATAAATCTCCAAGTATTAAATAGCACTACAGGATTGCATGAGATTGTTAAAATTAAAAGCTGTAATTAAGAGAAGGTTTAGTCTAACTGAAGAAAGGTAATCATGGCCAAGTGAGAAGAAGGCTAACCTTAAAATAGCTATTAATTAAAATCAGACAGCCTGAGGTAAGTATTTTCATAGGACGTAATCCTTACCAACAAATATTTTGCAATGTCGCAGAAACTGGAGAAGCACCAAGTACTGAATAAAATATGTTGCCAAGGTTGCCATAACCTAGTACAAAGCATTTTCTGGTGATTACATCACGTCACATTATTTTCATGCCCCCACCTTCCAGCTCTTATGCTTAACAGCATCCACAGAAATTGGATCTTGCCCACTTAATGTAAAAGATAGGTTTATAATCGAAAGAACGCATACAGGAAAAAGCCTTAAAGATGTCTTAGTTAGCAAATTAGACATGAACTTCGCTGGGACTATGCAGCTGGTGACTGATAGACAGAAATATTATACTTGAGACCATCCCACACTGTACAGGTGTCACAGGAACTACATCTAGACAACTACATCCAGCTTAACCAGCAGGGGAAAGGCCCTGGCAAACTGCAAGGAATGGAGAGAAAAGCAACAAAAATGCTGGGCTGTCTTTAATGATGGAGAAAAGCATTGAAAGAAAAGGACAAAGAAAGAGCAGCCTTGAGAAGGACTTGGGGGTGCTGGTGGATGAGAAGCTCAATGTGAGCTGGCAACGTGTGCTGGCAGCCCAGAAACCCCCCACCCCTGGGCTGCATCCCCAGCAGGGCAGGGAGGGGGGGATTCTGCCCCTCTGCTCTGCTCCCCCCCTTCCAGTGCTGCCTCCAGCTCTGAGGCCACCAACATCAGGACATGGAGCTGTTGGAGCAGGGCCAGAGGAGGCCACGGAGATGCTGGGAGGGCTGGAGCCCCTCTGCTGGGAGGGGGGGCTGAGAGAGTTGGGGGGTTCAGCCTGGAGAAGAGAAGGCTCCGGGGAGTCCTCAGAGCCCCTTCCAGTCCCTCAAGGGGCTCCAGGAGAGATGGGGAGGGACTCTGGATGAGGGAGGGGAGCCCTAGGAGGAGGGGGAAGGGTTTGACCCTGCAAGAGGGGAGATGGAGCTGAGCTGTGGGGAAGAACTTGTTTGGTGTGAGGGTGGTGAGAGCCTGGCCCACGTTGCACCGAGAAGCTGTGGCTGTCCAATGCCTGGAGGGGTTCAAGGGCAGGTTGGAGGGGGGAGGTTTACGATCCCTTCCAACCCAAACCATTCTACGATGCCTTTCCACCCAACCCATTCCATGACTCTATGATTCCAAAACCCCTATCTTGTCTATACTATTGACCAGTGACCAACTATTTCACTCCAAATATTGCCATTGGGATTGCCCCAGTTGGAGCTCTCCCTGAAGGGCAGCAGTTCTGCAGGCCAACAGGGATCCTCTTAAGGCTTGAGATTCCCGACCTGAGACCCAGAGATCCTTCCTCACCCATGGCCTGTGACAGACCCTCCACCAGTGACTGACAGCATGCTCTGTTAATGCTATGAAACATTACTAACCCCTACAGTCAACATCATTCTTAAGCATTATACAGATAATTCCACTGGACATAAACCGTTGTTCAAGTCTGAGATTATGACTGGATCCAGTTGCACTGAGGCTTCAAAAGAGCTTAGAAAGCAGGGGGGGTCCACCCTGAACCTCGTGGGCCCTCTTTACTCTGTATCTCTGGTCTACGCGTGAGCCATTCTAGCTTGACTCTAACTCAGTCTTCCTTTGTGTGTTCCTTCCACGCAGTCATTGTAAAGTGGACCTTGCCATCAACCTTATTGAACATTGTCAAAACACTGCTAAAACTTTTTTAATTCCATCAGACTTATTGAACTGTCAAATTATTATTTTACCTCAATAAAACATATTGTGGCTTCTTTCTTTCGAGTGAGTTGCATTCCACTCATCCATGGCAAATATGTACCTAACAGTGATTACCAACTGCAGCCATCAGTTCACGGGTGATCACCATCAGAAACCATATTTTCCATGTCCTTTTTCAATATTCTGCAAGACCTGAGCATGCTTAATGTGATCCCTGCTTCTTTTCAGGGAGCATTGAGGGTATGAGATATGAGGGGGGGAGGGGGCACTAGAGATGAGCCTAAGGATAGCCTCCTGCCTGCCATTGTGCTTAATGTGATACCTGCTTCTTTTCAGGGAGTATTGAGGGTATGAGATATGGAGGGGGTACTAGAGATGAGCCTAAGGATAGCCTCCAGCCTGCCATTTCACTTGAGGCGAGATGAGGACAATATCTCAGATGATGATAATGTCTCAGAAATGGGGGATGGTAACACACATGGTAGTGATGACATCAGGGATAGTGATAAGTCAGCAACCACTGCTTAGAAGGATCTAAGCATGATCAGGAGGGTATTGGGACTCGGCCCCCCACAAAAGTGGCAGGAAAATTAGCCCAGCTTAAGTGCTTCTACACAAATGCACGCAGCATGGGCAACAAACAGGAGGAGCTGGAGGCCACTGTACTGCAGGAAAACTATGACATTGTTGCCCTCACAGAAACGTGGTGGGAAGACCTACACAACTGGAGTGCTGTTATTGATGGCTACCAACTCTTCAGAAGGGATAGACAAGGAAAGAGAGGAGGTGGGGTGCCCCTCTATGTTAGAAACACATTTGAATGCATAGAAAATTAAGGAAGTGTGGGATAGATGAGGGGGCAGTGAGGTGGTTTGAGTCCTGGTTGTGTGACAGGACTCAGAGGGTTCTAATTAATGGAGCGGGGTCAAGTTGGAGGCCTGTGACCATTGGTGTCCCTCAGGGGTCAATACTCAGCCCAGTCCTGTTCAACTTATTCATCAATGACCTGGACGAGGGGACAGAGTGTATCCTCAGCAAGTTCGCTGATGATACCAAATTAGGACGGGCTGGCTGACACTCCAGAGGGCTGTGCCACCATCCAGCATGACCTGAACAGTTGGAGAGCTGGGCAGAGAAGAACCTAATGAGGTTCAACAAGGACAAATGTAAGGTCCTGCACCTGGAAGAACCCCAGGCACCAATACAGGTTAGGAATGGATCTTCTGGGAAGCACTCCTGAGGAAAAAGATCTGGGAGTCCTGGTAGATAGCAAACTTTCCATGCACCAGCAATGTGCCCTTGTCGCCAAGAGGCCAATGGGATCCTGGGCTGCGTAGGAAAGAGTGTGGCCAGTAGGTCGAGGGAGGTCATTCTCCCCCTCTGCTCTGCACTGGGGAGGCCACAACTGGAATCCTGCATCCAGTTCTGGGCTCCCCAGTTCAAGAGGGACAGGGAACTACTGGAGAGAGTCCAGCGTAGGGCAACAGAGATGATTAAGGGATTGGAGCATCTCCCTGATGAGGAAAGGCTCAAGGAGCTGGGACTCCTTAGCCTGGACAAGCAAAGACTGAAGGGAGACCTTATTTATGTTTAGAAGTATCTAAAGGGTGGGTTGAAGGATGTTGGAGCTGGACTCTTTTCAGTGGTTTCCAGCGATAGGACAAGGGGCAACGGGCTCAAGCTGGAACATAGAAAGTTCCATTCAAATATGAGGAAAACCTTTTTTACGGTGAGGATGACAGAGCCCTGGAACAGGCTGCCCAGGGGGGTCGTGGAGTCCCCTTCTCTGGAGATCTTCAAGACCTGCCTGGATGCTCCTGAGTGATGTGCTTTGGGTGTTCCTGCTTTAGCAGGGGAGTTGGACCAGATGGTCTCTAGAGGTCCCTTCCAACTCTGACAATTCCGTGATTCCGTATTAACTGCACTCCTGTGTGAGCCACCTTTGTAATGCCTCTTACACTAAATTCCTGAGTGACCGAACTGCTCCAGGGGCTACGAAAGCAAAGAGAGTCACCAGCACTTCGCTCTCATCGGGTCCCACCGAGGAAACAGAATCCAAACATACAAATAAAAACTAAGGGTGAAAAAAGGACCATAGCCCCCTAAGTCAAATTAAGTTTGCCACTGGTGTCAGCAGGACTGGGGTTTTTTAAAATATCTAGGAGACTAACAAAGAGCACGTGACAGGAGAGAATGTTACCAAGTCTATTTTCTCTGTAAATCAAGGTGAGCATCCTGCAGACGTGTGCTCCTCTTTCACTTTGATTCACTGTGATTCCAGAGCATCACAGTGCTGCAGAATGCTGGCCAACAAACCGCCTTCTGCCCCGTTGCAGGGGATGAAGTCATGCCATATTCTCTTCGCTTTTAAAAGAGACCATGTCCTTAAGCATGCATTACCTTAACAGCAGAAGCAGCTCCACTCGTCTGTGTTTTGGGGGGTTGGCTAACATTAGCTCCTCCTGGTTTCTTCTACAAAATACAAAACATAATAAACGTCAGAAATGTTGATGAAGAAAAAGAAAAGCTAAGTGAAAATGTAAACAAAAAAGTAGTGTAAAAAAAAAAAAAAAGTACACCAAAAAGTCCATTAGGACATTTTATACAGGGCAAATCATCCACAAATAAATTCTCCTATGTAACTTTAATTCACACAGACTCCTTTCAGACACTTTTGCCCAGCCCAGAATAGGCTGAGTTCTCTCCTACTGCTTTATGGACGATACACAAAATCTGTTCTATTTCCTGTGGCAGAACGACTCTGTTTTTAACAGTTAAAGCAACAGTAACCATATATACTTTAATGAAAAGTACCAATGAAAACAAATGGGTGAGCAACGGATGTACAGACATAACTGGAATGACAACACAGAAGGTAACATCACAGCTCAGTCAAGGAAGCAAAAATAAAAAGCTAAGAGCAAGATGATAGCTTTTCTAGTTAGTAAATATCCTTGCAACTGAAACAAAACCATGACATCCCCTTTGAACTTCCAATTTTCAGCCAATGCAATGTCATTATTAGCAAGTACCGCTGAGTACCGCTGCAATAACTCAGCGACATCTGAAATCTCATCTAATGAACCCTGGGAAAACAAGCCATTATTAATGAACACAGCAAAAAGCATCAGATTTTTGGAGGCAGCAGATGTTTAAGACTTACTAATTTTCTCTAATAAGTGGAAGCTCAAGACTCACAGCTCTACTAAAGTGTTCACACTTTAATTACTCTCTACAAGCAGGGAATGATCAGAGACACAACCAGCAAACTTGGATGCAAATTCAGAAGCGCTGGTTTCCAACTAATGGGACACTGGCTGCTGAACAACCTTGGAGACCTCTGGCATTAAGGTAATTCCCAACTCCTGTTGTCTTCCAGATTCATCTTCAAACACCAGGAGAGCATCTCCAATGAATAAAGCTGCACATGCGACAGCCAACCCCCAGTTGGTTTCCTAAAAAAAATAATTCACTGAAGATGCATCTTGGTCTCCATCCCTAAAAACAACCAGTCTGTTTCTTCTTCCCAAAAGGATGAACTCCAAAAAGGATCCTTACACTCAACACAGCTAAATCTGTGGCTTGGAAAATAAATAAGACTTACAATTGTACAGCATCTTGGCAGATGCTGGGGCACCACCTCACCCCTCTGTGGCCGTTTACCCAAGATTAACATCACAAAAATGTGGCCTCCTGGCACAGAATGACACAAAGTGGGATATTTACATCAAAGATTTCCACTTAGTATTGGCCACACTGGAGACGTCCAGTTAACACTTCACCGTATGATGCAAAAACAAAGTGTCATAGTGATTTTTTTTTCCTGTTAAAGGGCTCCTAGGAGTGTAGCTGTCTCCTCCAGCTGCTCTGGCCCAGGACCCTCCTGCATGGCTGCTGAAGTCCAGTGTTGCCCAGTACAGACCAGTACTGCCCAGAAGGGACCTGCCCAGCCACTGAAGCCCAGCCCATTGCCCATTGCCCAGGGGGTCTCTGCCCAGGCTGAGGGATGTGGTTGCAAGTTCCACCAGCAGCAAAGCCAAGCCAATATTCCAGAGGCAGACAGACAGACCAGACACGGACACCAGCACTGTCAGCAGCACCCACAGGCAGGACCCCCATCACACAGCACCACCCCGAGCCCCGTCCCCTCCTCTGGGGACAGCAGAGGCAGGAGCTCACCACTGCTGAGCACCCACAGGATCATAGAATCATAGAATGGTCTAGGTTGGAAGAGACCCTTGGGATCATCGAGTCCAACCATCTCCCCTACTCTACAAAGTCCTCCCCTACACCATGTCCCTCAGCACTGCATCTAAACATCCTTTAAACACAGCCAGGGATGGGGACTCCACCCCCTCCCTGGGCAGCCTGTTCCAATGCCCGACCACTCTTTCGGTGAAAAATTCTTTCCTAATGTTCAATCTAAACCTCCCCTGTTGGAGCTTGAGGCCGTTCCCTCTCGTTCTGTCACTAATTACCTGTGAGAAGAGACCAGCACCAACCTCTCTACAGTGTCCTTTCACGAAGTTGTAGAGAGTGATGAGGTCTCCCCTCAGCCTCCTCTTCCTCACACTAAACAGTCCCAACTCCCTCAGCCGCTCCTCATACGATTTGTTTTCCAGCCCCCTCACCAGCTCCGTTGCCCTCCTCTGCGCTCGCTCCAGCACCTCGATATTTCTCTTGGATTGAGGTGCCCAAAACTGGAGATGGTGCAGAGTTGCAGGTCCCACAGCACCGACACAGCTCCCCTGTCCCCCCAGCACCCCTGCAGAGCAGACGGGATGTGGCTGAGGAAGACAAGACCTCAGGCAACCGGAGAGAAGGGCTGAGCTGTGCCAGGCTGTAACAGCAACAAGGCACAAGGAACCAAACTCGGGAAAAATGGGGCAATCCCTTAAAACTGCAAGGTTGCTGGTGGTTACCAAGTGGTAAAAATAAAAGCTATGTGTCCTGTAGGTGAACAGAGCTCATTATGATGAGAAAACCCCACCTCCACATCTTGAGCTGTTCAGGTCCTAGATGAGATCCTACCCACAGGGCATGCACAGTGATTTAGGAATGTTCTGTATCTTTATTCGAAGGGAGAATACGAGCAGCCAAGAGGAGCTTCTTGTGAGATGCTGAGCCCCCAGTGAGCAGTGCAGGGTGGCAGTGAGGGGGTTTTTTCCACTCTCAAAGCCGAGGTGAGCTGGCTCTGAGGAGCTCCCACCCAGTGCCCAGCTCTGTGCAGGCATCAATAAACACACATCCTGGCTTTAGGGAGGGACAAGCTCTTTGCACCCTGGGTGAAGAGCCCAGATTTGGGACAACACCCAGACCCCAGACCCCCCTGCTCTCTGTCTGGCCCAAGTCGGTGCTTGCTGCCAACACACAGCACTCACACATACGTCCCACAGACACCCCACACTCCTGGGTCCCCCCAAAACCTGCACAGACCCTCCGCCCACCTTACACCCTGACCCTGACCTGGTCCAGCCTCAGGTTTGCCAGTGAATACACACACACATGGTTTGGAGAGGACACAGACACTTGCCCCAACAGCACCAGGCACCCTGTGACCCTGCACATCATCCCATCAGCTGGCACCATCCCACCACCCCCTCCAGCACCCTGAACCCTCGGTTCCAGCCTCACCAGCTGCAAAGTCCATTTGCTGCAGCTTCCCGAGAGCCCAACCACCACAGGGGCTGACCAGGTTTCTCTCTGGCTGCTGCCTTCGTTGACAGTAATTGCTGAGGTTTTATGCCTCTGCACATCTGTCTCCCTCCCTTTCCTTACCCTCCCAGCTGAAACAATAAACATCCTCATGCTCCACGCGTCCAACTGGTGCCACCAACCAGATGTGCTCCTTTCACAGCCTCCCTCATCCTACATCAGTCAGGTCTGTCTCTGTATTTTCTTCTTATGGCTCCTTTGACCAGACACCCTTAAAAGAGCCAACTCTCTCCTTTCGCACACCCCGCAACCCCCATTACAATGAACATTTTTAATTCAAGCAATAGTCTCCAGCCCCAGGTGACAATGCTCCTAAGGGCAGGTGACAAAGGTGTGACGTTACAGTTTTGTATGGACAATGCCAAGATGCAAAATGCTTTGGGTTTTGTCTCTGATGTGCATTAAAGACAATGTAGTGCATTAAAGACTTGGTAGTAAGCATTATCCACAAATGCTTCAACTTTATAACTAATAAATAAATTATTAGGTTGTTGAAGGAACACAAAATTTTAAGTGCTACCTTTCCATTTTCAAAACAAAAAGGAAAAAAAATCATCAAGAGTGAGCAGACATCTGAAGAGCAAGCAATATTCTGGGTCTGCCCTCAGTATCACAGCTCTCCACTTCACCCAAGGCTCAGCCCCTGGTTCAGGGCCTCACAGTGCTCAGGACTCACCCTTGGCACCTAAACCACGTCTAAGATAACTGTGAAGCTCTGGAAACCCAGAAATAAACTACTGTTGTGCAGAAGGAGTTTTTATGACACCTACCAACACATTCAAAAATTTCAGGCACAAGTCTAGCCTTTCCTCCCGCCCCAATCAGAAATGGAACAAAAAAACTAATAGAGTGAAATAAATCTTTGTTCTGAGCATGAACTTACGTTAAACAATTAAAGAGTGTAAGAAAAAACGTTAATGCAAGCATTTCTCTGTTTCACAGTAAGTGGAACAGCAATAAAGGTACAGGTAGGAGACAGAGAATAAAAAGAAGCAAATAAATGCTTTTCTGGAGTAGAGAAAGGCTTCCTGGAGATAAGCTACATGGAAAGTTAAGCCACGACATCACATCAGCATTCTTCACTGAATGCTGATGGCCAAGTAGAGGCACACCTTTCAGTTCCCAGGGCCATCTCTCAACAGTCACTTCTCTGCCCCTTCTACCTACCCCTTAATACATCTGTAAAAGCGTAACAATTGGCCACATCAGGCTACTGGGTTCATCCTTCTTTTAAGCATATTAAAATAATGGTGTTTTGTACTCCCCAGCACCCTCCCCACGAAGCTCCCTGCAGGCAAACCAGCTCCAACACCCTTTATCAACAGACCCACCAGAGCTGCAGGAACAGATTCTTCCCCCCTCCTCTCCAAGAAGTAGAAAAGCATTTTTTTTCTGTGACAGTCTCAGACACGATCAGCTGGAGAATCACCTCACGGCTGCACCCACATCTCGCTTCCCAACCCGGTAATAACAGAGCTAATCAATTATCATAGCATAGCTTCTTTATGAAATTAATTAGAAGAATCAAGAGCCTGTACAGAATCACGTGTGAAGGAGTAAGAGCTGTGGCACACAGGTACTCATAATCTATTCTTCACTGTTAGTTGTGGCTTCAAAACAAAAATCCAGAACACTGTTTCAGAGTGGAATATTAACTCCCCCATGTTTAATAAAGGGGAGATAAAATACAAATCCCTCTGATATTAAGATTTTCCAAGGGAAGACACGCATTAAGACTGGTGTCTAGAAATATGGATTAAATGTTCATATTGGACTATAACATTCAAGCGTTCATTATACTATTGCAACGAGAACGCATATGGTACAGTTAAGAAAAAAAAGTACCACATGAGCAAAGAAGATGCAATCTTTGTTCTGTAAATGCTTTTGATGACCATAACCAGCATTTCAGCCTCCAGCTTTCAATCTTTCATTTGAAAATTTATTGAGCAGCAATCACACTCTATTTCTTCCTACGGCAGGAAGAGCCTCACATCACAACAGCTCCCAACGAGTATCATAATTTAACCAAAATAATGTTATTTTTCAACTACCTTTTGCATCTTAGCCAAAGAAGAACCAAAACAGAAAAGGAAGACCAGCAAACAAGCCGGTGCTGTACTCCTTTGAACCCCTCTACTCAGATCATGGGCACTCGGTGCAAGGGGAAAAAAACCAAACAATGCACTTAAAAATAAATAATTTGGTACCAAGTAGAAAGAAACCTGGCAAAGGCTCTAATCAAAGTTACTTTTGCACCTCCTCAATTCAGACCAGTAGTGGGCACTCCAACGGACTTTTACCAGCCATGATGTCTTTATTCAGCGTTACCCGCTGGAGTTTGAGTAATGTTAATGCTTTTTCTGGATGAGGAACCCTGCACAAGCATCAGGCTTAATAGCTATGACAGAAATCCTGATGTCAGAGCAAAGAACCAATTCTAAAAGGACAGTAATGCTTTGGTGCCAATTATCACCATCATCATCTCAAAGCAAAGAATGTATTTCCTGTTAAGTAAAGAATAATGAGCTGAGCGAGCAGCACATGCTTTGTCCACACGGCTGTAAAGTATGACTCCAAATGGCAGGACTCGTTAGGGAGGGTCTTGTTTCACACCATATCTGGTAAATCACAGCCCCACTCTAAGCTGAGGCTTCAAATTCCTAGAATATATGGCTCCATCTTCCTTTTAATACCACATTTTTACACTCAGACACCAGCAATGCACAGGCTATATTTTTAGAGTGATACAGAAGCTCTCATTGGTATTTTACTCTACAACAGTAAAAAGAGAACAGGTCTTATTACAGAATGCAGTTAACAACACAAGCATGACGCAATTCAAAACAGAGCGTGGGGCTTTCAGAGCAGAACAGGAGCATTTGGTTTGCATCAATGTTATGACTCACACACACAGTTATGTACCAAAGCACACCGTGCCCCTACGGCAGCCCTCGGAAGGGGCAACACCGAACACAGCCGTCGAGAACAGGACCATGCAATTCATCACAAGACAAGACCTGTCTCACCAAGGCCACCCAAAGTGTCCCACATCCCGTTTCCCCATCCCGAGCAGCAGCCAGCAGCAGGTATAAAAGAAAGCAAAAGCAGTGATGTAGAAATAGGTCAGGCACGTGTCAATACCCCTTCCAAACACTGTCACAGAGTTAAAAATTTCAGTGTATTTCATAAACTGTCCTGGGTTTCTCTTCAGTGATTTTGTCCTGTTTCCCCTTGAAAGGATGTATCTTTTAGCATCCAAAAGCTTGTAGAGCACTAATGCCTAGATGGCACACAAGATCTGAACAGATCTGAAACTGGTGGCAGGGCACACATAAGTTGATGTCAAGGTGGGAGGTAAAGGAGAACCACACCAGCTGTCTCTTGCCTGCTAACGTTTTACATAGAAAATTCCTAAAAGCCTTGGAGCATCAGGAGGGAAGGAGAAGAAAGGAAATTGTCATACACTTTGCAATGGCGTGCTGCAAACATGTTGACTCACATCACCCACTTCTATGGGTGGCAGGTGCATCCCAGCTGCAACACACGCCACAGCTTCAAGTGCATGAGCAACCACCAATTCCAGCAACCATCATTGCTCTTCTGTCAACACCCACCACACGCACACTCACGAGGAACGAAAACATTTCATTAAAGCTGATTTGGATTCTCAAGAAGTGTCTGATTCTCCTCAGAATGCGAATTCAACAAATACAAGCTTCTGAAAACCAAGACATGAAGATTTCAGGTACATCCCTGTGACGTTAACCTTTGTCCTTCAGTAGTGCCCAATACAGACATTAACAATGCACAAATCACTATCAACTATGCCGATAAAGAACTGCCTACATCTTCTTTCAATTACATGTTCTGACACACCTGCAGTTTCCAGTTCTGTCCCTCCAGCAAATCTTTTACCTATTTCTACAAAACAACCTGTTGCTCACCAGTTGCTCATCATCAGATTGACAGATTATCTGTAACTCAACCTAAAACTGACCATTCCTGTAGCAAGTAGACCCCACCAGTCTGTCCAGACCCGAAGCTTGAGAAGCACTGCTAAAATGAGGCAAAACACTGACTGTCTCTTTCCTTTGATAACACACAGTAATGAAGTGGAGGAGATCTTTCCAAGAGCAGCATGGTCCTGTAAAGCAGGTATCATGGTCCTACCCCTTCCAAAACTCTTTCACAACACCTCTATCCTGTGCTAGGTGCAGTGGCACCAAGCGTTAGTGCAACCAAAGGGCTTCCAAGTCACTACCATGAGCTACAGTGAAGGACAAGGGTTAAAGTAAAATGGGTGTATAGCCTTAAGGACATGTCTCAGCTTTTGTTTTCAGAAACCGAAGAGACTAAATTTAGTATTTTAGAAGGAAGACAGGCAACAGTCAGAACCTCAGTGCTGCAATAAGGTCTATGTTTATGGCCACTGAAAGTTTTATAACTAATTAATGTCTGTTGATACATCATAGACAAAGTGGACATACTCCATGCTGTGGCTCCATGTAACTGCAAAACTATGGCGTCATTAAATAGATCATCTTCACACCAGTAACTCCTAACTCTTTTATTGCATTATTTTATTTTATTGTATGATGATACAAGAAATGGAAAAATCTTATGGAGCCATTTAATCTCCTCAGCAGCTCTGTGCAAGTCATGTCTTACCAGGCAGGTTTCTATTCACAGTAAACCTGCTGTGTTTTTGTCAACCTGCTTTTAAGCCTCCAAGAAGGACGGGTCTAAGAAGCCTATTCTACACCTTAACAGCACTGATCTTCAGTTCTTGATGTTCTGGCTAATTAGCATCTCCCACTCAAACTCATGTCAGACCTTTCCTACCTTTACTTTTCAAAGCTTTACTCTTCTTCTGTCACTCCTTCAAGGTTATGTACCCAAAGAATCTGAGAGAGAGTCGTTTATTGTTATTTTTAGCTAAACCATGAGCATACGCAGCTTTTACAATTTTCCCTTCAATATGAATATGAACTCTTCAAAGACCTTTGTATTTCCTTGTCATTTTTATAATGCATTACCAAATCTTTTCTAGCAGGGAGATGAACAAACTCAATATTCTAGGCAAGGCTGTCCACCGCTATCTACAGATGGATTATGAATTTCTGCTTCAAAAACTGAAGACTACAGGAAAAATCTACAACTTTTAAACAAAAATATAACATTGCAGACTCCTGCAAAATCTGTACAAAGATTCTGAGTTGCTACTTCAACTGCTTAAAAATTCAGAGTGTTTTGGAGTGTGAACTGTGATGGACCTAATGCTATTCAATGGGCCTAAGGAGAACTATTTTTATCTACTTTCCCTTTTAAGCCTTATCAAGCCAATGGAACAAGTCAAATATCTAAAGAAATTCACAAGAGGACACACATGGAGCATTCTAAGGACTCACAAGACAGAAGCCTCAGGTCGATAAACTTAGTGACAGCTTTCTTTTGCTAAAAACAGATATTCTCAGTGTGAGGTCTGAAACCGTAGCTCCACAACCCAAACCACCACCTTCAATGCCCACCCTTCCCACAAAGAAGTCAGCACTTCTATATCAAGAGCAACAACCTGCAGTCAAAGAATTTGGCATAAAAATAAGAATGTATAAAAGAACAATGCTATTTAGGAAAAATGTAAGCTGTCTAGAGAGGAAAGGAGGAACATGTTCCCAGGCTAGACAAAGGACAGGAAAGAAAGGTAATTGCTTTAACCATCTCCTTCAGAGGACCGTAATAACACGTTCACTGGTGGTGACCTGCACGGCAGCTAAACACACCACAGCTTAGAGAAAGTTATGGATCAGGCACAACTATTTCTGGCATCCTTGTATCAATGATTGATGTTTGAAGCCAAAAACCAGACAACTAATAACAGACATTTCTACAAATTCCTCACATTCTGAATCTGCTTTTAGCCTTCCTCAGGGAATCACTGCTCCTGCTTGGTTCCTGGCTTGGACAACACCCTCTCTTTGTGATACCAGCCTGACTCCCTGTAAGGCACAAGGACCTACCTCTGAGTGGCCAACTGGGCTTGGAGCTGCTGGGAGAGAGAAGACCCCAACGCTGCCCACAACCCATATGGCTTCTGATCAGTAACAACTGCTGCTACACTCAGGCTGCAAAGTTGCTTGTGTACACTCTACATTACGACCCAGCAGGAACTCTAGAACTGTAAATACCCATTCCTGAGGAGGCAGTATCTTGAAAAAAAGTATTTTTTCTAAAATACAGCACTGCCTAAGTATTTGCAAGTGTGCCAAGAGATGGCCCAGAGATGGAATATGTATGTATAAATTTGGATTTGTATTTTTGGAAGAAAAGCCAGGATGCAGACAAGGTGGAAAGCGTCACAGTGCACTCACTTCATCCATACTTCTGAAACTGGGACCATCAGATGTGTCCCAAAGCATATCTGTACTGCAGAACAGACGCATCCACGGAGATCATTCCCACCAGTACTAACATGAAGTTTTTGTGAAAGAATGAGCAGAGCAAAGAAATATTTTCAACAGGCTGCTCAGCAGCACAAGACAAAACTATACATTCCTAGAATGAATCATGAGTGACTACAGTCACCAGTTAATTGTCTGAAAAATACCACTTTGCTATCAAAAGACAAAAATTTGCATAGGAGGAAATCCATTACCAACTTTTCCTCTTAATATGTGCAAACACTTGAATTTACCTCTTGTGCTTCTGCTTTATTCTCTCCCGATGTGGAAGAAGCTCCACTTGCCTTCTTGTCGCCATGCTGTAAAATAGAGATGCGTAGCTATTAAGATCTTAAATGATACCTTCTACGTAGAGAACTTCCCAAATATCTTACTGCGTGTGTGGTTCCTTCCACCTACCATAATACAACACAAGGGAACATTGTAAGTTTTCCTTCTCCCTATTGGACAGGATTTAATGATCTTTAAGGTCACTCCAACTCTATGGTTTCTAAATGACTTGCTGGGGAACTTCAAGTGAAATCACAGTCAGCAAGTCATGACTTCCAGGGCAGTACACAGAACGTGACTGTTCTTGTGAGAAGTTGTAGAAGATATTACGCTTATCATTCATTCCTTGTCCCCAGAGTGCTCTCCAGTACTCCCTTCAGAGCGCTGTCAGTCCCCCAGGCTCCAGCAGAAACCAAACAGCTCTGAGAGACCCACACATGGTGTGCAACTACGAGCATCTGCTCCAACATCTGAACTGTCCTCAGACACACTGAGATGCTCACTGTGCCCACCCCTCCTAACCCAGCAGAGTGCTGTTCCTACAACTTCCAAAATTCTGCTGCTCATATCCAAAAAGAAATGCTCTAACAGTTTGGGCAGAGGTGCACATTAGGAAACACAGTTCTTCCAGGTTCCCCAAATGCCCTGCCTCCTTCATCCCCTCCAAGACTTTAACCCTCTTGCCTTCACCCAACCTCATGTGCAATCCCATTTGCTCCCGAGTGCGGCAATGTACAGAAAGGCACACGTTTGTTCATCATGCACACTGGCACCCAGCACATTTTACTCTCTGTATCTCTGAGAAGTGGTGAATAAGGTCCCTCAACAAACCTTTTTCAAAAGCATATTGTTTAATCTTTAGAAGTAAAAAAAAAAAAAAAAGTAAAAACCCAAGAAATTTCACCATGAATATAAATGGCAACATAATATAGCTATTATCTAATATCTCAGCTGGTGTAACTTCCCACAGCAACTGAGACATCTGGGAAGGAGGATTCACGTCTGCTTTGTTTTGTTAAGTAAAGGCAGGAGATGATTTGAGACCGATTTATTCCCTTCTGCTTTAAGGACTGAGCAGCAGGAGGTGAAGTTTGCTAACTCACAAAAGCAATGATTTCCTGCAGATTTTTCTTTACATGGCTATAGGGATGAAGTAATGATCCGTGTATCGCTGCACTATCTTTGGCAGGAATGTGCTCGAGTACATCAGCAGACAGGCTGGGAAAATACTATAGCTGAATGAACAATAAAACTAAACGTAAAAAAAAACCCAGCATGTCTCTAATCTGTTTCCATTATGGTGGTATACGACAAAAATTTCAAAAATTGTTTTGGGCAACCTCTAATAATTCAAGTTCCTAAAATGACTCTGGGCATGACTAAGATATTTGACAAGTTTTAAAACTGAAAATGCTATTCTCCTACTCCAATTGTGCCTCTTCAGAGGAAAAATAAGCCCCAAAGGTTGTCTTTTCAGGTAAGAGATGACTTGACTCACTGCCCCGTAATAGCACTTTCAGTATAGACACAATTAACCCAGTTATCTGTGCTTTTTATTGCTGCCATAAAAGCACACCACACGCATACCAGTAAAAGCAATGTCAGTGAGCGTGCTCTCGCAGAGCCAGCCACACTGTAAGGCTGAGGAGATAGAGCTCCTGCCCAGAAACTCAGTTGTGCAGACCGGGCTCCCTTCCTAGAGTGTTGTGATGCCAAGAGCATCCGTCTAAAAGCCAAGTGCTGCCCCGAATCCAGCTACTTCAGCTAATAAAGCAAACACATCTTTCTGTACACTGCATGTATTTTATTGCTTTTATTCATAGAATCATAGAATTGCCCAGGTTGGAAGGGACCTTTCAGATCATGTAGCCCAACCATCAACACAACACTGAAAAAAACCACCACTAAACCATATCACTTCATATTAATTTGCTTCTTCAAATTTGGACGTGGCTTTAAGAGCAGCAACACCAGTTAAAGCCCAGGCTTTAATTTTTTTGTCTTTTATTAAACCAAGTCACAGAATGCCAGAGCCTTACTTGGTTCCTACTGAGTGTGCCAGGCTTTCACCAGGGCCAGATCTGGTGTCACCCTTCCTTCCCACCAAGGAAACCCAAACCAGGCAGGACACAGCATCAACAGGGGCTCCCGTCCCAGGTCTGTGCAGGGGGAAAACGCTGTGTCCCAGCGGGAGGACAGAGCTCAGAGTGTCCCCTCCAGCCTCGGCAGACGCTGCTCCTGTTTTCCTGGAGCAGGGGGTGAGGTACAGGAGCCTGCGCTGCTTGCAGAGAGGGCAGGACAAGGGGGCTGGCAGGATGTCCTCAACCACCCTTCGAGCAAGACATCAATGCCATGTCCCTGAGGGACATCCCAGAGTGGCTTCACTGGCCAGAGAGAACAAGGAATGGACCAGGCCAAGGACCACAATTTTTCCACCCCTAAACTTGAGTTGGAGAGAGATTAAATGCATACCATCTTCTCTGCAGCAGGGTCTGTCAAACAGCACCTGTAACAATGGGACTTAAAAGCCAAATACATTTAGTTTTAACCACAGGAACAAAGCACATATAGTCCAACCAATGTAATTTTTGATGCAGTAAGTTGGCATCACACACTGTGTACGCATCAAGTGCTGACACTCTCTGGCCTCTGATAATAAAGCAGTCTATGGAAGTATTACCTCGCTTGAAAGCCCGCCACGCTGAGGGAGTGACCTTGGAAATCACAACTTCCTAACACACCTCCTGAGAGGACCACGCTGGTTCCCTGAGCAGCTGATGCTAAGACATGAGAAGAGACCCTGTTTCAAACATGCCCCTCAAAAGCTCTTTTCTGCTCTGTATTTCCAAGCTGGACACACATCACCTCGGAGTGATGAATAGGAGGACTATTCATCACCACTCTCTGGGCCCGTCCCTCCAGCCAGTTTTTCACCCAGCGAAGCACACGCCATGAGCCAGTTTCTCCAGGAAAACGCTGTGGGAAATTGTGTCAAAAGGTTTACTAGAGCCTAGAGACAATATCCACAGCGTGTCCCTCACCCACCAAGTGGGCAACCTCGTCATAGAAGGAGATCAGGTTTGTCAAGCAGGACCTGCCTTTCATAAACCCACACTGACTGGGCCTCATGGCCTGGCTGTCCTGCAGGTGCCGCGTGATGGCACTCAAGACCATCTGCTCCATACTCTTCCCCAGCCTCTTGTAGACGGGCATCACATTTGCTGTTTTCCAGTCCACTGGGACGTTCCCAGTTTGCCATGACTGTTGGTAAGTGACAGCAAGTGGTTTGGTGAGCACATCCACCAGCTCCCTCAGCACCCTGGCGTGGGTCCCATCCAGCCCCATAAGCTTCTTTATGTCTAAGTGATGTAGCAGGTCCCTCACCATTTCCTGTTGAATTAGGGGGTGTCATTCTGTCCCCCATCCCTGTTGACCATCGCAGGGGCTGGGGACCTGGAGAACAACTGGTCTTATATTAAAGTCTGAGGCAGACAAAGCATTGAGTACCTCAGCCTTTTCCTTATCCTTGGTCACTGTGTTTCCCCCTGCATCCGATAAATGGTGGAGATTCTCCTTAGTCCTCCTTACAGAAACATTTTCATTGTCTTTTACAGCAATAGCTAGATTAAGTTCTAGTTGGGCTTTGGCCCTTCTAATGTTCTTCCTGCACAGCCTCAGGCAATCTTTGTAGTCTTCCTGAGTGCCCTGCCCTGTCTTTCAGAGGCCATAGGCTTTCCTTTTCTTCCCCAGTTCCAGCCAGAGCTCTGGATTCAGCCAGGCTGGTCTTCCCCCCTGGCTCATCCTACAGCACATGGGCACGGCCAGCTCCTGTGCCTTCAAGATTTCCTTCTTGAAGAATGTCCAGCCTTCCTGGACTCCTTTGTCCTTCATATATAGTGTTTTATAGACACACCTTTAACTTCTAAACCAAAGAGCATTCATAATGTAACTGCCCCAGGTGGAAAGCAACAGAGCAAAATACAACCAAACAAACAACTGCATTTTCAGCCTGTGCATGCAACAGTCAGACCTCAACTACAGGTCTTGCTGCAAGAAACTCCTTCTAAACCCCAGGGGCTCCATTAGCACTAATGAGCCTTTGGTTCAAAGCCATTGCACAGCACCTCGGAGGCCCACAGTGACAACAGGCTCAGCAACTGGGTGAGGAGGGAAGCCTCCTTGCGAGATTCTCTGCTGAAGTCAACCAGCTCGGCATCACAGATATTAAAGGAGACATCATTTTATGTGGATAGGAATCTGACCTTTGTTTTCAGTTGAAACTGGGAAGGAGATGGATCTCTGATGCTGCTAAGAACACTACCAGGCAGAAAGGGGTGCCAGGGAACTACAACTAGCAACGTAAAGAATGGAAAGGGGAAAAATGGATTCTTCTTACGGCCACCTCATTCTGCTTTAAATACGCCAGCCAGTAAAAACCCTGGTAGAGCTGTGAATCTCTTTCCTGTCTGTTTCCCTCTTGCACCTTTTCTGCTTTGCTTACTCATCCTTTAGGCTGTGAGGTCCTCCAGACAGACACTACCCTGTGCGAGACACATGCATGGAACAAGAGGGGACATGTGTCTCACGTGGAGGCCATAGGTCCCATGTTGCTGCCAGCAACTGTGACAACGGGCTGCCCATGGAGCCTGTGGAGGAGCAGTTTCCTTAGCTGATCACAGGTAGTCACATTGTCTTAGTATCTCTTCTTACCCTTGTTTCGGTGAACCAGGACTACTGAGGCCTTTAGCTGGAGGAGTGGTTTCCTTAGCTGATCACAGGTAGTCACGTTGTCTTAGCATCTCTTCTTACCCTTGATTCGGTGAACCAGGACTACTGAGGCCTTTAGCGTTCATGCCATCACTCAGTGCAGCAGTTCCCAAACTTTCCTCCCTGTGCCTTTCTGTCACTTCCACCACACTCTGTCACTGAGCTGACTCGACACAAGGAATGATATCTGAAAACATTACTCAACACCAAACCAAGCTACTCTGAGCCATTTAAAAGTACAGTTATAAATTCAACACATTAAACCTACCTGATTATCTGTTAGGAAACACATTAAAGTGATATTTTTTCTGAAAGCCACCTTCCACAATGCACACTTTCTGTAAAACTTTAACAGTGTGCAAACTTTTCCTCACCACTCCATCAAGAGACCAACCATTTCCTCATATGACTAATAAATTATAAAGATGACTTTTCAAGGTAATTGCAGGTTCGTCACAGTAATGAGGACCGACCTAAGTCCAGCCAAACCACACGGAGCCATCGGAGGGGCTGTGGTTTACCCAGGGAGTCACTGCCAAGCGAGGACTATTCCTGGTAACTCCACCACCCACCTGCAGTCAAGAACACGCTGCTGAAAAAAAAAAAAGGCAAGGCAGACTGCGGAGTTTTTCCCGAAACTGCAACAATCCCGAATAAATTCTGCCTCATGTCACAGATCGCCGTGCGGTAGTTCCGTCAGCTAGCGAGCTTGCATTATTCAGAAGATTACGAAAACAGCCGACAGCACCAAAAAAAAGCAGAGTTTTTTACAAGCAGGGCTGGTAACAGGCGGCGGAGGGATTATGGAAGCGCCGCCAGAGAACACCAAGTTCTCATCTGACCCCAAACTCTACTGCGGCAGCCTTTAAAAACAGCGCTGATTTGCCGCCAGTCACCACAAAATCCTTTTCCTTATCCCTCCCTAAGCCCTCACCCCGGAGCGGGGAGGGACCCTGAGGGACACCCGTCCCGGGGAACCCCCCACACCCCGCCGCCCCATAAGTAGCTTTTATGGACTGAAACTCAGAGGCAGAGAATTGTTTGGCTGTGATCTTCTGAATTTATTTATATTTAATAACTCCGGCGCTGCTGCGGGGAAAGGGGGCGAGGGGGGCGGCCGGTGGCAGCGAGCAGCGGTCCCGGTGCCGCAGCCCTCCCGTCCCGCTCGGCGGCCGGTCCCTCCCCTTCCTGCCCGGGCCGGGGCCGGGGGGGCCGGCGGCGGGGCCCCGGCTGAGGCGGACGGGCGGGGGCCGGGCGTGAGGCGGCGGCCACCGCTCTCCCTGTCAGCGCCGGTGGCGGGACGGCGCCCGCTGGAAACAAGAGTGGCTTTTCTTTAAAAATTAGGAGTTGTGTGGGGGGAAAAAGGCACACACACTTTCCTTTTCCTCACAAAAGTCGGCCCCTCAGCCTTTCCCCTTGGAAAAGTGTTGGCGGCGGCCGGCCGGGCCTCCGCTTGGCGCTGAGGGAGATCGTGCGGGGGATCATGTCCTGTCAGGGCTTCCCCGCCACGGAGCTGGGTGGCAGCGGCTCCAGCCGCACCGGCACCGCGGGGCCTCGGGGACGCCAACGCCTCCAACACCCCGGCACCGCAATTCCTCCAGACCCCTGACATTATAAATACTTAAAGGGAGGGAGTCAGGAGGACGGGGCTGATCTTTTCTCAATGGTGCCCAGTGACAGGACAAGAGGAAATGGGCACAAACTTGAGTACAAGAAGTTCCACCTAAACATGAGGAGGAACTTCTTTACTGTGAGAGCGGTAGAGCAGTGGAACAGGCTGCCCAGAGAGGTGGTGGAGTCTCCTTCTCTGGAGACATTCAAACACTGCCTGGACAAGATCCTGTGCAACCTGCTCTACATAGACCCACTCTGGTGGGGGGGTTGGACTGGATGATCTCCAGAGGTCCCTTCCAACCCCATATGATTCTATGATTCTATCCCGGCTCCTCCGGGACCCCGGCTCCCTCAGCTCCCCAGCTCCTCTGGCACCCCGGATCCTCTGACACCCCAACATCCCAGCTCCTCCAGGACCCCAGTTCCTCCAACACCCTGGCTCTTCCAGGACCCTTGCTCCCTCAGCTCTCTGGCTTCTCTGGCTCCCTGGCTCCTCCAGGACCCTTGCTCCCTCAGCTCTCTGGCTTCTCTGGCTCCCTGGCTCCTCCAGGACCCTTGTGCCTCCTGCTCTTCCTACTCCCTGACTCCTCCAGCAGCCCAGCTCCTCAGGGACCCCGGCACCTCTAGCTCCCCAACACCCCAGCTCCTCTGGCTCCCTGACATCCCAGTTCCTCCGGGACCCTGGCTTGTCGGCTCCTTCAGCTGCCTGGCTTCTCTGGCTCCCTGGCTCCTCCAGGACCCTGGTGCCTCCTGCTCTTCCTACTCCCTGACTCCTCCAGCAGCCCAGCTCCTCAGGGACCCCGGCACCTCTAGCTCCCCAACACCCCAGCTCCTCCGGCTCCCTGACATCCCAGTTCCTCCGGGACCCTGGCTCCATCGGCTCCTTCAGCTCCCTGGCTCCTCCAGGACCCTGGTGCCTCCAGCTCCTCCAGCTTCCTGACTCCACCAGATCCCCAACACTGCAGCTCCTTTGGCTTCCCAGCTCCTCTGGGACCCTGGGTCCTCCACCAGCCTCGGGTCTTGGCCGTCACCTAGGCCCGAAATGTCCCAGAAGGCAAGGGATGCTATCCCACCACACCAATGCCCTTGGTCTCAAGGCGGGTCACATATCCTGTGGTATTAATGCTCATGTCTAGAGGATTGACCACAGCTTGGGTCATTCAGTGGGAAAGCTTTCAAGGTCTGATGGTTTTTTAAGAATGAGTCCATCCAAGTGAGCCTTTACACAGATGAACCACCCAGGATGGACTGATGGCTCTTCTGAAACACCCACGAACAGACAGTGGTTGGTCAAAGCTGAAGGAAGATTCAGCATGGCCAGACCTCCCTGATCAACAACTGGAAACTCCTCAAACTCCTCCATGAGTAGAATGGTTTGGTCAGGACCTCATGTTCGTGTGGATGTACACCTGGCATGAAAAATTCACCTTTTACCAAGAGCGGTTCTCCGAGGCCACCTCGGTAAAGGAACAGTAAAGAAACAAACTGCCACAGGAGTAGAGCAACAAGTATTCTTGAAGCATTATGTCAGGAACAACGTCATCAATAACAGAAGTCAGGTTTTACCAAGAGCGGTTCTCTGAGGCCACCTCAGTAAAGGAACAGTAAAGAAACAAACTGCGACAGGAGTAGAGCAACAAGTATTGAAGCATTATATCAGGAACAACGTCATCAATAACAGAAGTCAACCCGCAGTGAAAGGGGTTCAAAGCCCACCCATTGCCTGTCTGTGGGTAGGTGCACACACACTCACGTACAGGTTGTGTGCAGGAACTAGCACCCTTCACCAGCTTCATCTCACCCAGCTCTCGCTTGTGCACAGCTTAAAAAAAAGAAGCTTTTTGGGTGTCCTGTGCCATGGGATCCCCGGATTGGGCTGGCTGTGTGGCTGGGTGGAACAGCCATTGAATGGGTTGTGTTACTCCGAAGAGGTCCCAGCAGCAGTTCCTGGACATGGACATGTGTAAGGAGGCCATGTCTGTCAGCAGGAGGAAGCAAAAATGTCCAAGTCTTTCAGGAGCGCTCACCACCTAAGCATCTACTCCCTGATTCCTCCAGGGAAGAGGCAGCAGGACTAAGTCACCTAGTGAGAAGTCTACAGACCTAATTAACGCCCACGCCCTGTCCCGTCAGACAGAGAGAAGGAGACATGTGGGCGAGGATGAACTGCTCGAGGCCTTGGAGAATGGCTTTAACCTCCAGAGAGGAAAGACAGGCTAAAGCTGTCCCTGCTTTTCCTTTCTGATTAGCTCCATGCAGGTGTGTGGCTGCCTTTGAAGTGTTTCATGCATGGGTTTTGCATTCTACTTGATGGGTGACCTACCTAAAATCTTATGTACCCAGCCTTTGCTCAAGCTCCGTGTTGCATCTAGCCATGGAATTGTGGAGCATGGCACCAGCTGTGGGTCTGGGCACAGTGCTCTGGAGGAGAGGAAGGCCAGGGACATGCTTAATGCCTGACCTTCTGACGAGGCTCTTGTGTGCTGTTAGAATCATAGAATGTATTGGGTTGGAAGAGACCTTTAAAGGTCATCTAGTCCAACCGCGCTGCAGTGAGCAGGCACATCTTTAACTAGATCAGATTGCTCAAAGCTTCATCAAGCCTGACCTTGAATGTCTCCAGGGATGGGGCCTCCACCATCTCTCTGGGCAACCTGTTCTAGTGTCTCATCACCCTCACTGCGAAAAACTTCTTCCTAATGTCTAATCTAAACCTACTCTGCTGTAGTTTAAAACCATTGCCCCTTGTCCTGTTGCTACACGCCCTTGCAAACATCCCTCCCCATCTCTCCTGGAGCCCCTTGAGGGACTGGAAGGGGCTCTGAGGTCTCCCTGGAGCCTTCTCTTCTCTAGGCTGAACCCCCCCAACTCTCTCAGCCTGTCGTCACAGCAGAGGGGCTCCAGCCCTCCCAGTATCTCCGTGGCCTCCTCTGGCCCCACTCCAACAGGTCCATGTCCTTCTGATGTTGGTGGCCCCAGAGCTGGAGGCAACACTGGGGGGGTCTCCCCAGAGCAGAGCAGAGGGGCAGAATCCCCCCCCGGCCCTGCTGGCCAGGGGGCTGGGGATGCAGCCCAGGACGTGAGGGGGTTTCTGGGCTGCCAGCACACGTTGCTGGCTCATGTCCAGCTTTTCATCCACCAGCACTTTTCCACAGGTCTGCTCTCTTTCACATCATCATCCCCAGCCTGTGTTGGTAACGAGGGTTGTTCTACCTGGGGTCACCCTGGCAGGTCCAACTGATTGTGCCGCATTCCTGGGCTGCCGTTGGCAGGCCCTCCCTGCTGACACGCTGCTGTGGGAAGCCTTTGCTCTGCCTCACCACTCTCATTGCTGCCTGACTGCCTGATGACAAGCTGATGGTAATTAAAATCGTGGAGCTGCACAGTAACTAGGCAGCAGGACATTAAATCCTCGGTGACATCCGTCTGTATCATGCTGGGTGGATGAGGGTTCTGCTGACCCAGAATCATAGAGTCATAGCATGGTTTGGGTTGGAATGAACCTTAAAGACCAGCTGTGGTCTTTCCATCATCCACCCCCTGCCCTGGGCAGGGACACCTCCCACCACACCAGGTCCCTCCAAGCCCCCTCCAACCTGCCCTTCAACCCCTCCAGGGATGGGGCAGCCACAGCTTCTCAGGGCAACCTGGGCCAGGCTCTCACCACCCTCACACCAAACAAGTTCTTCCCCA